GCTGCGCAGCTTCCCAATCGCTGCCTCTCCATCCTCTCACCAGCACCAAGCAGAAGCACTGCAGGACTGCTAGGACTCTGTATCACTGGGCATGCTGCTGCTGTCTCGCACTTGACGTGAAGAAGGGACTAGTCTCATGGAGATAAAGGCTCTGAGCTAAAGGAGCTCAAGTAGTAGACACCTTAATCTTCCAAGGAGAGTACAGTTCCTGACTGAAGACCAGATCCAGTGTAATGTTGTTTTGAAGCATAACTGTATCACCCAGCATGGCGAGAAAAAACAACAAAAAATCCTACCTACTTGCTATGCTAGCAAATGGCAGAGGCTGATATAGCAGCACCAGACAAAAGCTCTTTTTTTTTCCATTTCTTGTCCATTTGGAAATTTAGAAAGCTATTTTGCAGACTGGGAAAAAACCCCACCTCTTAGCTACATCACCACTAGAGGACTCTGCTGGCACAGCTACAGTCCTCATCTCCTCTCCTGTGGACAAGCTTCAGAAAGGATGGAAATGGGTTACCACAGCCCGATTTTATCTGCCCCATGACATAATTTGGACTCAGAATCTTAAAACTGATGACTGGAAAGATTCCTGCCCTACAGAGTAAAAAACCTCTGTCCTTTGGCTGACAAAGTGCTCTTAGCAAAGGTTTTCATGCAGCCCCTGTGGCACAGGGAGACGTGAAGTCAAATAGACAAAGCCAACCTTTCCTAATTCTTACACTCTAGCACCACTGCCTTTGATAGAACAGACGTTAGACCATTTCCAAAGCAAATCTTCAGGTTAAAGTTCACCCATGCAAACTTTAAAATAGTATCTCATAATGGCAGCTTATTAGACTGACACTTGTTATTTTTTAGCTAAATTAAGACTGTTAAGTAAAACAGATTAGAGAGGAAACAACAGACAGATGAACTGGTCGTATATACCTTGCTTCAACAGGGAACCAAGCTGAAAATATGTGTAGTTTAGTGAAAGATATTGCCCTAGATCACATGCCTGCACTCCTATGGAAAAAATCCCTGTGCAGACACTTGGAGAAACATGTTCATCTGAGCTTGGTAGAGGGCGTGCCACGTGGATGAACCTGGTTTTGGCTAAGCTTTTGGGTCTGTGTTTCTAGCAAGGAAGAAATTTATTCCTCTGAAGGACAGCTCAGGCAAGGTGCTGCAATTCACCTTCTGCAGCATGGTGTCATGATACTGGAGATGGGGTGAAAGTGGAGACTACATCTTTAGATGTGATGATCGTGACCAACTGTTTCAGTGGACAGTGAGAACTAATAATGGGCAGCCTTGGAGGAAGACCAAATTACTAGAAACAACAAACCGTGTTGTTGCAGCTTTTGAGTTACAACCTAGATTAGGGGATACGGAACAGGTGTTCAACAAAAAGCCAGACAGAGCTGGATGCTAAGAGCCAGTGCCATAGCCAGTGTATTTTCCAGGGGAAGGAGACTCTTCTGATCTCTTAGGTAAGAAAATTTTTAAGTTGCCTTACATGCTACTGTTTTATGCTCCTGCGATGTCACTGAGATCACTGCTGAGAAAACACCTCCCATCAGCTGCCACTGAGGGGGCTGCAGGAACCACACATGGCCACAGAAACAACACGTGGTCTGACTCTTCTGGGAAGACCTCTACTCTTCCTGCTCTGTATGTGCTCTTCCACTTCCAAAATGAGATCACAGTGTGAGGTGAGATGGGACATTTCTTCCCGAGAAAGACGACAGGTGGCATGAGCTACAAGGGGAGCCTTCAGGTGTGGAAGTGGAAGTGCACACCAAAAATTGGGGGAGATGAGCCTGGGTACCAGTGCAGCTTTGATACTGCCATGGAGTTTTTGCAGTGACTGACCTGGTGCTTTCTTTTTACACTGTAAGCAAAAAATATTTCCTGGCTTACAGGAAATTTGTAAGCCAAATTTATTTCCTGATTTTGTCATCAGAAAGTCCAGAAATCATTTTCTGCTGTTTCTGCATTTGTACTGAATTCGGTGGAGTTTATAACAGCTGAGAATCCGTTTCATGCCTAGTTTTAGGGCTGAGTCCCCACCCTTCCCATTTAATGGGTAACTAACTCCTTCTCCCCATCCCACCCTGAGCTGTGCCTCACAGAGTTGTTCAGGTGCTTTCTGTAGTCAGTGGTAACAGACAGGCCCCTTCCAAGGGGTTTGCTTGCTTTCTGTCCTAGACCTTGCTCTTCCTCCTCTTATTACAACTACAACTAATTTAAACTTCACAAGTTTTAAATTGGTAAAGTTAGATTTTTTAATTATCTCAAGTTAGGCAAGGTGAATACTGTTGCATGTGTCTACACTTGTAGGTTCCAAAAAAAAAAAATAATCACTTTTTAAGGCAATTTGGAAATATTTAGCCTTTATTAGATCTTTAAATGAGATTTGTCTCAACCAACCACTGTTAAACTAGATTGTTTTAGCAGCATAGCCAGAAACCTCATAAGCCCAAATAATGCATTAAAGGATTAATTTCTTTACAATAAATTAGAACTTTTAAAAGCAACAACTGCTATAATTCAAATATAGTAGCATACTATAACTTTTTCATTAAAATGAAGCTGTAGAACTTTTTCTAAGGAGAATTTTAAAAACAAATTATTATTCCAGAGTTTAGATGAAGAGGAAAGAATACAGTGATGCAAAGCACTGTGGAGGGTGGGATGTCTAATATTCTCAACAAACAATTGCGAGGAGAGAATTAGCCAAAAAACCAAACAAACCCAATAACAATAATCTTTCATACCAGTCCTGCACTGCATTGAAGGAGTCTTCACTGGTGATATCATACATGAGGATGAAGCCCATGGCTCCTCGATAGTAGGCTGTAGTGATAGTCCTGTATCTTTCTTGTCCAGCTGTATCCTGGAACAGAAAGGAATATTTAGGCTTTAAGACTTCAATTCTCAGAAACAGGCATTGTAGTTAGGTCTTATATCTAACATAAAGCAACCACTTTGTATAATAATACATCTTAAAATTCTCATTTGCTCCCAACTGAAATGAACTCTACTTACATTTTAGCATTAATTGGGCTTTTGCATCAACTATGATTTATTAAATGCATTTTGACACATGCACTATTAAAAAAATACCAAAGATGTCAACCCTTTAATTGCTCTTCTCTGCCTCAGCCTCAATGCAATAATAAAATGTTAGCAGAGTTCACTGAAAGCTGACACTTCAAGGCAGAGGCAACAGAAAACAGTCCAGGACCGTACCAGACAAAAGACATTTACATGTTGCAATTTAGTGTCACGGTCAGGAATATGTCCTTGAGATAGATGCTGTGGGTGACTCAGTTCCTACCTGAGGTTAGAGATAACAGTTACAGACCTGATGCAATGAAAATTATTCTACAAAGTGAATTTAATGTGGAATATCCCAATCATGATGTCTGAAGCGCATATACTAATTTGAGATTTACTAACCCTCTTCTGTTGGTTCAGCTTAATTCTCTTTACCTACAGAGTGCTGTAGAATACCTCTACCTGCAGTTGTCATTTCTATGTTCAGCCTGGCAGCACAAAGGTGAAACTCTGGCATATACAACAGAAGAATTTCAAGACTTGTGACAGCTGGAAAACATGTCAACTACCATCTCTTGGATGCAAACAACATTTATTCCTCACATTTTGGGTGCCTGCTCTTAAACTGAGGAATATTTCTACATCAGATCAGCAGTTCTGCAGCCAATCCATTCCCTCTGGACCTGCCTTCTGAACCAAGGACAGAAGTCGTGTGCTTTAACATCTCTCTCATTCAGGAGGTATCTATCATTTGAACAAACAAATTTCATCCATCTTTTGGCAAACGGCAACTCTGTGAAACACCTGCAGTGGGACAAAAGGCCTTACCTTCAAAGCGTATGTTCAGTGTAAGGTGTTGTCTACTAGTTACTCTTATGGTTCAACGAAATGAATGGTCCTTTAGTCCTCCAAACCCCACACTTAAGAAAGCATTTACCATTGCTGGTGTTTTAAAACATGATTCCAGTTTCTCTTCTCTAGAGAAAAAGACCTTAAAGGACTTATCAATCATATAGCTAGTTGAAGAGTAAAATAAATTCATGTAGAGCACTCTTGCAGGAGTATAAAGCCCATTATCTGATCAGACACAGCACATCACCGCAACCCCAGAAAATACACAAGGTGCAGTGGTGGGGAAACTACTCAGCCTTAAAATCCTTCTGTCCCTCATTCCCATGCGTGCAGCTTTGGCTTTGCCTTATGCAAGAGACAGTGTTGCCCTTCCACAACACATGCTAGCCAGTCTATGAAAGGGGAAAACATCAATGATCGCCTGTTGTTCTGCCCCAGAATATCACAGAGGCTATCTGTAGGAGGAAAACGCTAGTAAATCAGCTCCCTGCAGCTTGCTTAAAAGGCTCTGCCTATTGCACTACCATGAGATAATCCACAGCTGTAACACACTATGAATTTCCCAGTGGAGAGATTACGCCGCAGGAATCTTGCTGTTTCTCCACCAATCCTCTGGAAAAAGAAAGGGTTTTTCCTTGAAACTTGTGCATTTATTTCAAGACAGGGTAGTCCATTGGCTGATCACGACGACGCATTGCACACTGGCTGAGAAATAGTCCTCCTGTTCCCTCCTGACAAGAGGTACCAGAATGAGGTGGGCTACACCTTGCAGCCTGAGTGACCATTTCTTCTCCTGCCATCAATAAACCCATCACAGAGCACTCATAGCCACTGACACTGCTGAACAGCTAAACCAGCCGTGCCAACTAGATCCTAACTATACTTCTTCAAGTGGGGAAGGTCTCAGCAGCAATCGTATTGTTCTGTTTATTCAGAGACATTTCCTAAGGACACAAGGCTTATTAAATCATCAGTCTTCACACGTGCACGTGTATATGCTCATTATAACTCTACTGACTTTTGATCAAATTTGACTGAGGGGAAACGCTCCAAAAAGTTCTTACAAATATCACGAAAATAGTTGGTAAGGTGAAGAAGAGAGACCTTACTCACACCTTAGCTGGGGAAAAAAAGCTTAACTGCAATGCTTATCTTTTTCCAGCACCAAAGGATCCACAGGAGAGAGGCTTTCTTTATGCCTCGTTAGGAGAAAAGCCTAAATGAGTATTAGTACCTCCTCAGATCCTGCAACCAACAAAAAGAAACAAATCCATAGGAAGTCAGGCTTCTTCAGTTCTCATGCTCACAATGTTATTGTTTTATACCTACATTCCCAGGTTCTTCTATTTTCTGCTCTGTGTTTAACTAGCGCTCATTTTGGCTTAGGGCACGAGGCTGTAACCAGTCAGTAAGCAACTGCAAGACACATTGTCTAGCTACACACAGAATAATTTGGAAAGAAATTAAATTTGACAATGGCTTGGAGCAAGGAGTTAGCGCTGAGGATGTATGTTCAGGCTGTCCTGGGAAGCAGCCCCAAGGGACTCTGAGGGTGGCTTCCAAAACCTGCCCTGGTACCATCTCAGTGCCTCAGCTCAGTGAGGAACTGGACTCAGCCCACAGAGTTCATCTGTGTTAAAGGCAAACTGTGCTATTGCCTGAAAGCTCTGGGATTTAGTAATTCTGGTTCATGCATATCAGTAATCTGCCTGTGAACCCCCTGTGTGTGGGGAGGGCCCTGACTTATATGTTACCATGAGATGGGGACGTGGCTGCAGGAGGTGCAGAACCCCAAAGGACTACGTGCATTTGCTTAGTCATAACCTGTTCTCTGGTGGACAAGGCACTTACCTCATTAGGAAGGTATTTTGCATATTAATTGTATATACTTAGGTGCCTGCCTTCTCAGGTTATCAGAGGGGATGTGGGGGGGAAAGGCATCCTATATTTCATGGTATGTAAAGTTTATGGATAACCTTGCCTTGGTAGCCATGTTCTACAATGCGGAGATGTGATTCATCTCTATGTGAGCCACTGACGGATTCCTCGCTCTGTTTTACTGTACGGTACAGAGCATGTCATCTCCTCCTAAAGGTTTTTAGTTGCATTTGTCCAAATCCATTTGAATCTTTGTAATATCACCCTGAAGTGATTTTTTTTTTTCCTCAGGTTATGTTAGCTTCTTAGACAGCTATAACCTGGCTTAATTTTCTTGACTCACACCATGTTTTATGCTAGCTTCCATGAACACTCCCACAACCCCCACATACTTCAACATAAATAAAATAAAACAAACTGCAAAATCTGAGGTCAGTTTCTTCAGCATTTAAGTGGCTTACATCAGTTTAAAACACCACAAACCTTAGGTAATTAGGCACCTCAGTTTATGTGCAAAACATTTATCTAATGAAGGAGAAAATAACTGACACAGATTGCTCCTCCCCCCGCCTCCCAAGTTGTTTGCAAGATTTCCAGGTAGACCACAAACTCATTAGAAGACAAGTACATGAGGCACAGGCAAGGATCAGCAGAAACCCGGTGTAGCTCTAATTAACAGTCTAGCCAAATGCCTAGGAAGAACAGCCTGAGCCTTCAGCATCCAGAAGCCTGTTTGGCTGTCCCTGATGAGGAATCAGAAAGGTTGACTGTAACCAAGCACGGAAGGGTCTCTGTGAGGTATATTCACACTAATGTGCTAACAACTGTTCTTTTGTAGCTTACATGTGTGCCTGTCCTTGATACAAACAATTAAAAAACCCCACAAGACCATTAGTTGGTAGCTTGAAACAAAAATTTGAAGGTTTCTCATTAATGAGCAATCAAAATTCAGTGTTTATCAGAGCAGAAAAAGACCTAAATGCATTTGCATTGTGCAGATGCCCTCTACTCGCAAGATCCATCACCTAAATATTCACAATAGGAGCATAAACAGCTTTTCTTAAATTTCTTTGGCTGTCTCAGCAGAAAAATCAAGGTACTTACACAGGAAACACATTTGAGTTTTTAAATCATGACAGATGCTCTTTGCTGCAGGACTGAAAAATCAGAATCCCTGATTCTGAACCATTGTTCTTCCAGTGAAGACTTCCAGACACAAGTTCTTTGTTCCAAATAAAATGTCACTGAAACTTCTCATCTGCAGCAGATTTAATCCCCTCAGCACCATGACTATTCTAGCAGTGTATGTGACAAACAGCCTCTAAAGAAATAAACCTTTTGATTTTTTTTTTAAAAGGATTATAGTTTGATTCTGTGGGGGTTTTTTAAAGAAGAATAATATGCAAGAATAAGAGTCACTTGTTGTCTAGATGGTTGGCAACCATTACAAGATGCGCATACTTAGCTTCATCCTCGCTTAGGCTGCTCAGAGTCAGAACAGAGGCTACGTCAACCCCAATAACCAGCACCAACCACAATTTCAGGACTTCATCAGCTGTGGTGAAGGAGAGATCTCTTCTCCCCTGCTGTTCAGCGTCACATTGTGACACCTACACTATAGCTTTTTGCACCTTGTTCAGAGTTTGGTCAGCCTTGGAGACAGGATAATCAACTTCACAGCCCTGTTGTTAAAAGGGCAGGAAGTTGTTAGACATTGAAGTGTCAGGAAACATCTGAATCCCTGCAAACACAGCTCAGTTCTCAGCAAGACTGGCCACCTCAGCTCCTGTTCTCTACGAGAGAGATAACCTGAATAAGCAAGAAATAAAGGCACATCCTGAAGGCAGAGGGCTGCTTGTCCTGGGGCTCAGTAATACTCAACCCCTTTATGTCCAAGACCTGTTCACTTTCCCTTCTGCATGGATTGCATGGAATACAAACATTCACACTCACTTGGAGTTACGCTGGTGTCTGTTGTGACAGTGAGAGTGCCATTCTGCCATCCATAACCTCCGTCACACCCCACTCTCTTCCCACCTCCAGGCAGATCTCTCAAACTGTTCATGCAGCCTTCTCCGCTGCTGCCCTGTTCTGCCTTCCTCACAT